AATATGTCTAAAGAAGTTGGCTGCAATCCACAGAGGTTCACACCAAAATAAATTTGTTAGACCAAAGATGTCTCTTTGGCTGAAATCTAGCTGGCATACCTATACCTCTCGAAGTGATAAGATGACCAGCAGGGGGAGATTTTTGGTAATAAAACACATATCCCTTCACCCCCTTGGTTTCTCAGCAGGTGTGTGTTTGTGGGCTGTAACTCTCAAAATTCTGCCAGTGGAATTCTTGGAGAATTTTGGAATTTAAAGTCCAAGAAAAGAAAGGGGGAGAATGGCACACCCTAAATAGTGATAGGAATTTCATATTTTCTGGGAAGTCCAAGAAAAGAAAGGGGGGAGAATGGCACAAATAGTGATAGGAATTTCATATTTTCTGGACTATGAATCCCATAAGTTTCAATTCTGCCAGTTCTATCTGACAGACACTTTACAGATACCCATATGTGGCTCACTTCGGGGAAAAGGCCTCAACTGGAAGGCTCTGGACTAACTAGGCCTACCTCTGCCTAGCTTCCTATTCAGAAAGAAGCTTGGGCAGATTTAGGCCTAGCTGGGCCTCAAAGCCTTCCAGTTGAGGCCTTCCTCCCAGTTGAGGCACATTTTGATGTTTTAATTTAAAGCATCTGTCAGGCAGAGCTCCCAGAATAGAAAATTATGAGATTTATTGTCCCAAAACAAATATTCCTAATGCTAATTCACAACCCAAGTTGAAAATTTAACAAAAGCTGAGTATATAAGTGCATGTTTCCACACATGAGCATATGCAGCCTGCAGCATTAGCAAAAATAAAAAATGAATGTGCAAGTTAGATCACCTATGTGAATGCACAGTTCAGAGATGGGTGACATGATTAGACAGACATGGGCAGCCAGCACAGCACGCGCACCTAAGTCTTGCAAACATTTGAGGAGTATTTGAGAAAGGAGTTAGAAGAGTGGTGGAGAAAAGGGGGGAAGCAGGACTCCTTTAACTTCTTGCCATACACTGCACAAAAAGCTTTGATCATAAGAGCAATAGGACTAACCTGAGACAAACTGTTAGGACTAAGGTATCACTGACAAAGTACTAGTACCAATGGCACAGGGTTATATTTGAAAGTGCAGGTGCTCATCATAGTAGCCCCCCACAGACCTCCTTAAACAACATAATCAAAACATAGGTAAAGGTAAAGGTTCCCCTTGACATATAGTCCAGTCGTGTCCAACTCTAGGGCGTGGTGCTCATCCCCATTTCCAAGCCATAGAGCGAGTGTTTTGTCCATAGACAGTTTCCGCCAGCACGACTAGACATGGAACATCATTACCTTCCCACCGAGATGGTACCTATTTATCTCCTTGCATTTGCATGCTTTCAAACTGCTAGATTGGCAGGAGCTGGGAAAAGCGACGGGAGCTCACTCCGTCACATGGATTCGATATTACGACCACTGGTCTTCTGACCATGCAGCACAGAGGCTTCTGTGGTTTAACCCACAGTGCCACCATGTCCCTAATCAAAACATAGAAAGGATAAGAAATAGTTTACATTTCCTCTTCTGTTGAAAAGCTGGTCTTTGGCTATTTTGTGTAGTTGCAGACTTGTGTAGTTGTCAACTACTCTCAAAATTAGACAACATTTTAAGATACTATTGCTGACTAATTTACCAATGGAGATGTTGAGAAACATTTACTAAAATATGTTTATTTTGGTAGGATCTGGAAGGACAGATCCTGAAGCTGAGGTTCCAATATTTTGGCCATCTCATGAGAAGAGAAGACTCCCTGGAAAAGACCCTGATGTTGGGAAAGTGTGAAACAAGAGGGGAAGGGGACATCAGAGGACGAGATGGTTGGACAGTGTCTTTGAAGCTACCAACATGAATTGACCCAACTCCAGTGGAAGACAGGGAGGGCCTGACGTGCTCTGGTCCATGGGCCACGAAGAGTCGGACATGACTAAACAACTCAACAACAACAAAAATATGATCATTCCTGCAAATCTAAGGGGGAAAGGAATGCTGCAATGTATTTCTTTATTTTTTCAGAATTAATACGCTTCCAAATTTACGTATATGGGAAAAATCAATATTAACAAAATCAAGAGAACAGTTGTTCCAGATTTTGAGCCAACGTAATACAGTGATCAAAATGTCAGACAAGGTCTGGGGAAAAGCCAGGTTCAAATCTGCACTCAGGTACATAGCTCACTTGTTGAGCCGCTCTGAAATTTGACAATTTCAAGACTTGCAATGAGGATAAACCACAGAACTCCAACAAATAAATGCAACATCATTCAGACTATAGGGAAGATTCATTTGTGGTATAAACACCAACATCAATAGCCAGAATCTAGATGAAAGCCTAATTATCACTCTGAAAGACTCTTGTTTATTCCATATCTTCCCAACAGATGGCAATATAACACCATCAATAAAACCAACTTGTTGCTGAAATTCTACATTCTGTAAACATACTGTAGAAGAGAAAAGCAGAATGAGCCAGTATCCCATGGCCAAATGTGGAGCAGAAGGGCAATTGTGCAAGTTTTGCCTCCTGCTCCAGCAGGCTTCCAGGCACACAACAGTTGTGTGAGTGATCTAGCAGCCAGCGCGAGAACAGAAAAGAACCTGGGAGCTTTCCAAGGGGCAGAGAGGAATAATTATGTGATTGCCCTTCCACTCTGTGTTTAGGCAAATGAATACTAATCTAAGTGCTTTAAAGGAATGCTTTCCCCACCGTTTACTTCTGGCTTGTACATAACAGCCTAAAGGGCAAAAGGATTTAGACATTAATGCCCAATCACGTTTCCACATAATGCATGCCACAGGGCACTAGTATTTATGCATGCTGTGTGTCCTGGAACCAAGAAATCACTCTCAGGCTGAAAAAGAAAGTAAGAGTCTGTCATCTATACATATATTTCCCTTCTTCATAACCTCATCATTATGTGCTCTGCAACTGCATATGTGAACTATCTCATTGAAAACAGTGATTTGAAAATGATGCCAGGTTATTTGAAAGCTCTATGTGTGGCACTTCATCTGAAATTCAAACAAGTACATAGAATTATAGACAAATGGGGCTAGAAGAAGCCTATAAGACCATCAAGCACAATCTCCTGCTCTATACAGGAATCCAAATCAAAGTGTTGGAGTGCTCACCACCTCCTGGAGTAACTGGTTCCATTGCCATACTGCTCTAACAGTTAGGAGGTTTTTTCGGCTACCAACTGATGTTCAGTCCTGTAATTTGAGCCCATTATTATGCGTCCTGCACTATGGGATGACTGAGAACAGATCCTGCCCCTCCTCTGGACAGCAGTCTTCAAATACTTGAAAAATTATATCCCCCTCATTCTTCTTTTCTCAGGGCTAAACATGCCCAATTCTTTCAGTCCTTCTTCATAGGGCTTGATTTCCAGTCCCCTGATCATCCTTGTTGCCCTTCTCTGAACTTGTTCCAGTTTGCTGCCATTCTTCTTAAAGTGTGGTGTCCAGAACTGGACACAGTACCCAAGCGCTGAATAAAAAAGGAACAAGTATTTCATGGAATTTGGAAACTACACTTCTGTTAATGCAGTCAAAATAGCATTGGCATTTTTTGCAGCCACATCACACTGTTGGCTCATATTCAGCTTGTGTTCTAAAAGAATTCCAAGATCTTTCTTGCATGTAGTATTACTGCCGAGTATCCCACAACTTATAACTGTGCATTTGGTTTCGTTTTTCTAGCTGTAGAACTTTGCACTTGTTCCTGTTATATTTCATTCTGTTGTTTCTATCAAGCCTATCAAGACCTTTCTGAATTTTGTTTCTGTCTTTCAGGGTATTAGTTATTCCACCCAATTTTATTTAATCTGCAAATTTGTTAAGCATTATCTGCACCCCCTCATTCAAGTCATTTAAAAAATATCAAAGAGCACCAGGCCCAGGACTGGGCCATATGGTACCTCACTTGTTATCTCCTCCTAGTTAGAAGAAGCCAAATTGATAAGTAGTCTCTGAGTAAGACTCTGCAACCAGCAGATGCCTATAGCTGTTTAATCAAACCCACACCCAATTAGTTTACTAATCAGAATATAATGGGGCAAAAACCTGCTGAAAGCAAGCTATACTAAATCTACAGTATTCCTACCATCTACCAGGAAGGTTACCTGATCAAAAAAACAAGATAAGGTTAGTCTGGCAGGATTTGTTCCTGACAAAACAAGATAAGGTTAGTCTGGCAGGATTTGTTCCTATTGGCTTCTAGTTATCACTGCATTGTTTTCAACCTGCTTACACAGTGGCTACTTTATAATCTGCTCCAGAATTTTCCCTGAGATTAATGTCAGGTTTACTGTTTTAACTGCTTCAAGTTATAAGCATTGAGTAAAAATGTGTGAACACCGTCACAACTTTTCAATTTCTCTGTCCATAAGGACAGTAATGGATATACTGCTCTTCCATATTTATATTTTCCCTGGTGCCCCAGATGTATATGAACCTGAAGCTTCAAGCTCCCCGTTTCAAACATCCTGGTTGTTAAATGTTTTGCTGAAACAGCCACTCAGTTTGCATATCGATCCTTACAACCATGTTGGCCAGGCACTGTCTGTCACCTTGCACCCTTTTTACCACAATTCTTACCAAACTCTACAGTGAATTCAAATGGACTGCCTGATTTCAATTCATTGTACACTTTCAGCCCTGGGCCCTCTGAATTCATTAAACATTTGCTTCTGACTCTCCTGTATGATAACTTCCTTGCATACGTTCAGTATCAAATCTTCCACATACCTGTAATGTCAGGTATCCCTTATGATACGTGATCAACAGAAGTACAAATGCCAAAGTAACATTAAATAAGGGAATGTGTTTTTTTAAATGCTCTTCCACAAAGTAACATCCTAAACAAAGTCTAATGTTGCTTCAGACGTACCCGAAGACATATACAGACTGAAGAGCACTAATTTATATTTGTGGCTTATTCAAAACATGGAAGTCTGAGGTTAGGGAAAAAGCAACAAGATACCTGGACTCTGCAGGAGCTAAACTAGGATCCAAAGAAATTATCTCAGTTGTAATCTCCACCTTTCGTACGCTTCCAAAGAAATCAGTTATCAGGACGTTTTCAGGATCTCTCTGAAAGAGATCTGTCCGATGACCAGGTGTAGAGACACACAAGCTCTTAGGGCACACCTGAAACTGTAAACAAAACAAAAATACAGGAATCTACACAATTGTTTCATCCAATATTATTCTAGCAAGTAAAGGACACTTAGTATGACAGCCAAAGTATACCAATGCAAAAACCTTGACATTTATTTTTTCCTCCTGGGCATCAGGAGAAGCATATTAAGCTAAACATAGCCCTCAAACAATAAAACAAACTGATTTTGTGGACATGCATACATACATACATACATACATGCATACATACATGCATGCATACATACATACATACATACATACATACATACATACATACATACATACATACATACATACATACATACATACATACATTTTCATGTGACAACACTGAAGAAATGACACTTGGCTACAAATGTAAAGGAGTGAGTATACAGCTAGTACAACAGTGTAAATGTGCTGTCCCCTCAAAATAACGCAACACACAGTCATTCATGTCTAAACCGCTGGCAACAAAAGGGAGTACACCCCTAAGTGACAATGTCCAAATTGGGCACAAAGTGTCAATATTTTGTGTGGCCACCATTATTTTCCAGCACTGCCTTAACCCTCTTGGGCATAGAGTTCACCAGAGCTTCACAGGTTGCCACTTGAGTCCTCTTCCACTCCTCCATGATGACATCACAGAGCTGGTGGATATTAAGAGACCTTGAGACCTTGCACACCTCCACCTTCCGTTTCAGGCTCAATAGGGTTTAGGTCTGGAGGCATGCTTGGCCAGTCCATCACCTTTACCCTCAGCTTCTTTAGCAAGGCAGTGGTCGTTTTGGAGGTGTGTTTGGGGTCGTCATGTTGGAATATTGCCCTGCGGCCCAGTCTCCGAAGGAAGGGGATCAGTACATGTTGGCATTCATGGTTCCCTCAATGAACTGTAGCTCCCCAGTGCTGGCAGCACTTGTGCAGCCCCAGACCATGACACTCCCACCACCATGCTTGACTGTAGGCATGACACACTTGTCTGTGTACTCCTCATCTGGTTGCCACCACACACACTTGACACCATCAGAACCAATGAGGTTTATCTTGGTCTCACTGGACCAAAGGACATGGTTCCAGAATTCCATGTCCTTAGTCTGCATGTCTGCAGCAAACTGTCTGAGGGCTTTCTTGTGCATCATCTTTAGAAGTGGCTTCCTTCTGGGATGACAGCCCTAGAGATCAATTTGATGCAGTGTGTGGCATATAGTCTGAGCACTGACAGGCTGACTCCCCCACCCCTTCAACCTCTGCAGCAGTGCTGACAGCACTCATACGTCTATTTCCCAAAGCCAACCTCTGGATATGACGCTGAACACGGGCACTCAACTTCTTTGGTCGACCATAGGAAGGCCTGTTCGGAGTGGAACCTGTCCTGTTAAACCGCTGTATGGTCTCGGTCACCGTGCTGCAGCTCAGTTTCAGGGTTTTGGCAATCTTCTTATAGCCTAGGCCATCTTTATGTAGAGCAACGATTCGCTTTTTCAGATCCTGAGATAGTTCATTACCATCAGGTGCCACGTGCAGCTCCCAATGACCAGCATGAAAGAGTGAGAGCGATAACACCTGCTCCCCCTTCACACCTGAGACTTGTGACACTAACGGGTCTCATGACATCAGGGAGGGAAAACGGCTACTTGGGCCCAGTTTGGACATTGTCACTTAGGGGTGTAGTCTGTTTTTTAGGGGGAAGTGCATCTTATGGAGCAAAAAAACAAACAAACAAATAAATAAATAAATAAATAAATAAATAAATAAATAAATAAATAAATAAATAAATAAATAAATAGTTGCATACTTACAAGGTCATTCATATTGGTCTGGCTAGCTGGATGAATTTCTTCCAAGAACTCCAAAACATAAAATGTATACCTGTCCATCAAATGAACTCCAATTCCAAAATCTGGTTGATGCTGGCAAATGAACATAATCATGAGTATTATGGAATATATATATTACAGAACATGGTCTGTTACTGAATATACCATTAAAAAACAATAATGTGGAGTAATGAGGAAGACAACATTGCATATATAACATGTTTGTAATTATTCTTTGTGGAAAACACAATTATCCAAAGCGTGGCCAAAAAAATAGGGGATGGTTACCTATTAATGAGAGCTGAATTGTAAATCAATCAGCTTCATGTACAGCACTGTGCTTATCTGTTTACACTATATACTATTTCATTTCCCCATTGTTTAGAAGCTGCTGGGGTCTACAAAATACTGCTGCAGGGGGTGTTGTGGTTATGGTTCCAGCTTCTTTATTTCAGCCTGCCACCTTCTCTCTTTTAAAAAATGGGGGGCTTAGCTCTCATGAGGGGTTATTTTAAATGATCCCACACCTGTATCCATCAATTAATTAATTTAGAGTTTTGTGTGCTTTCTTAGAGATGCAGCAGGGTGGGGTATCCAGGGCAATCTAAATGTCCAATGTGTGGCACACGAGGGAATCACACTTACACTAAGCAATAATTGTGCATTGGTCCATTATGAGAGGTACTCTATAAGGGGAAAACATGCATGAGAAGATTTTTTTAAATGCAACAAGCCCCTTATTTCTATTGGCCAGTAAACAATAATCTAACTTTGGTTGCATCAAAGAATGTTCATCCTTTTTATGTTATTTAGGATGGGGTGTGTTTTTTTAAAGGGGGGCACCACACATTCAGCAGAAAGAGCAGTGGTTGAAGTCTAAGAATGTTAGAAGGGGATGTGCCTGCATATAGAGACATGCATATATATAGAACTCCTGCAACCCACAATGCACAAGAAAACATGCCATATAGTGGAGTCAGCTTGGATAGCTCCAAGATCTCTTTTGTGTGTTCTTTAAAACAGTGGTCCCCAACCTTTTCCCAACCGCGGACTGGTTGGGGGGACATGGCACGCTTGCATGGGTGTGGTGCACCCGCAGGGGGCCAGAGCTCGCTCACAAGCATGCGCACAGCGCTCTCTCAGGGGGTGCTCGCACGCATGCACACAGTGCGCTCACAGTGGGCGGAACATGCTCGCACACATGCATGCAACGGCGCTTGCGGGGGGCACTCACGGGGGGGCGGGTTAGGAGATCTGTGTCTGTTGCCTGGTCCTGGAGGGGGCTGGGGACCTCTGATTTAACACATGGAGAAGGTCATCTGATCCCCTCCATGCTAAATTTAGTTATGGTCCTTCTGTTACATCTATTAAAATATTAAGCCTTATTCAGTCATTCTTGAAATGTGTGGTCTCCACACACAATGAGGAGAGTGGCCAATCTTCCCCTCTACTGTCACTTTTGCATGCTGAAAATGACAATCTGAAGAGAGAGCAGCTACTATATTGGTACAGGCTCTCCATGTGAGCCAGAACCCATTTCTTGGTCTTGAGGTTCACATGAGGAGCCTACATATATACTGAACTCTCCCTCATTTAGTTTATTATGTTGGCTTGTTGAAAGCAACAACAGAAGGGTCACGGCTGTTTGTGGAGAACACACATTTCAAGAATAGCTCAACATGGATTTAGTGGCCTCAGGCCAAAAAGGCAGAAAAATACTGTTCTAAATTGCTAGAGGCAATGGGAAGGGGGATGTTCCTTATCCAACACATCATTTCGACCCACAGTGACTGAAACAGCTAATAGACTTCTATCAGTTTCTTTAAATGCTATCATTTGGAGGCTCTATACAGAGCCCTAAGTTAAAAAGCAATTAAGCCTATGTCATCAGAGGCTTTTCTGAGTGCAAAATAATCCCTCTACATTCATCTGCTTTTTTTAAAGTTGGTATTTTCTCAAAAATTTCTAATTTTAGTTCTCTTTAATGTTCATCTAGACATTACATAACATATATTTACACATTACATAATGTATATGTGTATGTTACATAATGAATAAACAGAGAGAGAGAGAGAGAGAGAGAAATTCTTGGGATTGTGGGACACTGCATAGCTTCTGCTAAGTGCTTGGACAAGAGCAAGTATCTAGAAAAATGCACCCATTAATTTCTGCAGATGCAGAACCCATTTTGCGTGTTGCAGGAGGCAGGGGATAGCACATGCCAGCAGAATGTAATATTCATATTCAACAGATTCAGGCAGATTTATCACCAAATTTAAAGCAGGGCAGATGTTATCATTATGAGAGTAGACCACACCATATCAAGTTATTGTTAATGAAGAAAATGAAAGCTATATACTTACTGAAAGTGAGTCTTCTCCAACTTGGCTACTTGCCAGTGCCATTATGTTGGGAGAATAAAATCGCTCATACATGGATGCACCTTGGCATGTATCAATGATAAAGAGTAATTCATTGTACCTGGAAAGAAATAGGCGTATTTTGTTTTCATCCTCTCCAATTCTAGACCACTGTGTATATTGATCATTTTGTACTTATTAACACCTTTAATTAGTAGCCAAATGGTTCATCTTTTCATACATTCTGTAACAATCGTCACTGGTGTTTTAAAAAAGTAAAATCCTTTTAGTGGGAAGGAAACAATTGACTTTTGTCTTCTTATTCCTCAGCACTGACAGTTTCATGTAGCCTCATGAACAGAACACTATCTCAAATCATCAGTAAAGGCAAAGTCTAATACAAGCCATATTGCATTGTGTGATAAACAAATCATAATATAAGCCCCCAGCTTCCTGGATTGAAAATAACCAAGGGGTGATGTTTAACATGAAAATCGTATGTCTCATCAAAACTATGCCCAGCTTACTCCCAAGTAAGTACATATAGGAATGCCCATAGGAATGCATTCTAAAAGACTTAATTGATTTATTTAATTATACTGTATTTAATCAATTAATTATCACTTCCTTCTGTAAGGTACTCAAGAGCTTAACATCACCGCAGTAATACAAGTTTCATTTGATGCAAATATTTCTCATATTAATTTAGATGGAAAATTACTTAACAATAACATTTCTCAATAGCTGTTGGGATTTCAGTTTTTTTGCTTTATATGTATGTCTTTTTAAGCAATAGATGTAATATTAACAAATTTTTTTCCAGTGAAATATATGGAGAGAAATCAGCTTTTGAGCAACATAAAGATAACCTTGTGATGTCATGAAACAGTTAGCAAAATTAGTTTTATAATGACATCCCTAGTTTCTGATTCAGAGGTAGCTATTGTAATGTACTTACAAAGACTTAGGAGTACAGTGGTGCCTCGCTTAACGAGCACTTCGTTTAACAATGAATTCGCTTAGCGATGATTTTCGGAGCATTTTTGTGCTCCATTTAATGATGTTTCCTATGGGCTATTTTCACTTAGCGATTTCGGGACCATGCTTCGCATAACAATTAGGTTCTTGGGTCCCCTGTTTCGCTTAACGATGGTTTAAGCAGCCTCATGTTTGCTGTTTTTTTAAAACAATAGCTGTTGGGATTTCAGTTTTTTTGCTTTATATGTATGTCTTTTTAAGCAATAGATGTAATATTAACAAATTTTTTTCCAGTGAAATATATGGAGAGAAATCAGCTTTTGAGCAACATAAAGATAACCTTGTGATGTCATGAAACAGTTAGCAAAATTAGTTTTATAATGACATCCCTAGTTTCTGATTCAGAGGTAGCTATTGTAATGTACTTACAAAGACTTAGGAGTACTGTACATTCCTGCTCCAATGAAAATAAAGTGAAACAATCTTAAAGAAATTGTGATTGTATTTTCTGAAAATTAGTGCAGCCACAATTTATACTGATAGCATCTACAGCACTCTGAAGCAGTAATATTGCAAACAGTGACTTGCCTTCCCTTCTGAGTAAACTGGGGGAGACAGGAGCAGAGGTTGTGCACTAGCAATTTTCATTAATTGTGTAAGAAAGATGGGAATAAGAGATTACCTCCTTTTCTGCCACATCTGTTCAAAGGCATCTGCAAGTTCTACATTTGTGATTTCTTCAGAATCTTGAAATTTCAAGAATCCATTTCCACCATGGCCTGGGAGGGGGGGGAGCATAAAATATACTGACATGGCTCCAAAACAAAGTTTATTACGGACTTATTAAATTCATTTATTTTATAAATAAATATGTTATGTCAGTGCTATATATCTATAGATATTTTGTGTTATTATTGATATATTCTTATACCCTACGGTTTTTAGCAATAAAGCTTGTTCAGAGTACTAGATTTATATCTCCCATTTCGGCCCCAAAGTGGCCAAAATTTTAAAGTTGCAAAACAGTTCAATTCACATTGAACCAAGTATAACCAAATTGTTCCTGTCTCCCTTATTGCTTACCCCTCTTAGTCCATATACTCTGTTGATGATGAGCAAGGCAGAACATCTGTGCATGATTGGTTCAATGCAGATTATACTGTTTTGAAATTAACAGAAATAAATGGGGGGGGGTATTCCTTAAAACCACAACACAACAGATTCCTCAGAACAAGATCAGAGAGAGAAATTTATATGTGCAATCATGAAGTTTACACACTGCAGTTTTGTACTAATCAGGGCAGTCCACAACGGGCAGTCACCAGTATGGAGTACTCTTCCATATTTTAACAGGCTAGCTCCTCCTCCCCATGCCAATCCGTTCTCTCCTTTCATTACACCTATTCTATATGCATCTTTTATATAAAAACTACCAGCACCCCACAAATCTGGCATAAATGAGAAAGTCAACTGTTTCATGATGTGCATGACAAAACTTTTTGGTTTTGTTTTCTGTTCTTTTGGGGGGGGGAGGCTCTTTGTTTTTCTATTTTTCATGCACTGGTCTCTTTGTTTAACATGCAAAGGACCACTTCTGTTGGGTGATTCTGAGTCATTTTCCTCCACTTGTGTTTTCTGGGGCTAGCCCAAAAAATCTCTAAAGTACCCATAATACTACCTCTCAGAAAACAGAGGCAAAGCAATGGAGAATCAATCTACTCCAATAGCAAACAGCATTACAACCAACCACCATCACCAAATGAAACAGTCCTGAAATTAAACATCAAAATACATGCCTTTAATAAAATAAATATGCAGTACACAAACCAAACAACAATATAAAAAATCTACCAGAGAAGCAGCTCCCACACAAGAGGGAAAAAACAGCAAAATAAGAAGCCCCATTTGTCAAAAACCAAGAAAACAAGCAAGTGTGCAAATAAAGGTACAAAAATAGGATGGACAAAAATCTATGATTTTTTAAAAAAATATCCATTTAAATTATGATTTAAATAAAAATATATATTTAAATTTTAATTGCAATTTAAATAGATGTTTCTTTATTTTCATTTTTTTATTCTTAAATTTTAAATAATCAAAATCTGATTTTTTAAAAAAATTAAATCATGGTTTAAATCAAATTGCTTTTAATCAAATCCACCCAGCACAAAAATAAGGTTAAATTCCCCAAACCAAACTGACTGGAATGGGGGAGGGATTTCTCTCCCACCACCAGTTGCCTTTGTTTTTCTTTGAATTTAGCGTAGTAACAGGCAGCAAAAAATCCAAGAAAGGAATAAGACCAGTCAACAAAAATCACCAAAGAAATCAGTAGATGCGAAGGAGGAATCCAAAAAATAATCTCAAGGAAGCATGTTGGAACACGGATGTTGCCTGGTGGCAACCGTGAATTTGATACAAACAAATAGGACGATGGACTCACCAAACCATGGAAAAAATTAGAAGGATCCAAGATAGAGAAGAACAAGTAAGCAACCAGGCAGACAATTAGCACAAAACAGAAGGCACCATGAGCTCGAAAACCACAAGGAATGAATGAAACAAAGAAAGAAGACTGATCAGGTTCCAACCAATCCAAGGTCTTTTTTGAGATCAGAATTCTTGGTCCCCTCCATGTGTTCTGACTGGCTGCAGACAGCAGTCCTCATCATGGTATTAGATGAAAAATTTCTCAGGTGATTGAGAGACCGGGCATGCACCCCTCTTTATTTCATGCACCCCTCTTTGTTTAACACACACCATTCATGTTTAACAGGCAGTCTATGGGGAATCCACATAGAAACATGAATATGAAAAGAATGCTTTCTTCATGCTTTTAAAGCACGGAAGGCTGATCTCAAATAATAGCAAAATGCACTGAGAGATTTGCAGAACTATAAGCAGCAGGACCACACGTACATCATATTCATAGTTGTTTCTAGAGATGGGGGTATTCGTATTAGTAGACGAAAACTAATATCCTCATGCAGCTGAAGTTAACTCTGGTGATGGCCCCTCTCTTCCTTCCAATCGCTCCGGAGCCCCGCTTGGCTAACCACTCGGCAGCCTTGCAGGAAGACTCGTCGTCCCTCCCTCTACCAGGAGTGGCTAGCTGACCGGGAAGAAAACAGAGCTTGGGAGTGACTGGAAGGATGAGCGCGGCTGGCGGTGGCAGTGGACATATAAGCAGACCCTTGTTAACTCCAGCTGCACAGGAATATTCGTATATGAATACCCCCATCTCTAGTTGTTGCTTTAATCACTCACACACAGAGACATGCACATGTGCTCATCACACACATACACATTTGTGTATCTACAAAAATGTAGATTCATAGGTGCTTTCCATCTCACAGATATGCTATATGTGGCCCTCTATGTTTAAGAAGAAGGTAAGCCAAAATATTTCTCCAAATACATATTTCTAGGTGTCTGATTGATAACACAAACAAGGTTGGATTTCACTGGCAGTCTCATATTTTAAAATAATAAACATCCTTTCTTTTCTTCGGCTTAGTAAGTTTATTTGGAAGAGAAGTCATGCTGTGAGATTAAGTATTGAGCTTAGAATGGAACAAGCCCATTTGACAGTTGCTATTCAATATGGGTTGTGTTGCTTATCGTAGTAATTGCAGAAGAAAACACAGTTACCTGTCATATATATCAGAATATTGCTTCTGTCATCAGAAAGAAGACGTTTCGAGCGAGGTGCACTTGCTGGGATTCTGCCTGTCAACACTCGCAAGAAGTTCTCCACAGTAACCTAAATACGAAGAAACTTTTTTTTCATAACTGTTATACAGACTGCACATTTTAATTATTCAAAGAGGGTTCTGGAAAAAGAATTGCCCAATTTTAAAATGCCCTAATATTTAGCACAATTCATTAACAGATCAACAAACCAGACTACACCGCTACATTTCATTGATACAATCTTGCAGTATCTTTTCAGTCCAGTCATTTATGCACTTTTTAATCACTGAAAAGTAATGAAGTTTGCTATGCAAAGTTACAATGGCTAACATTCTTGTCTTCATTGATTTGAACACTCATCACGCTGTGTGGCTTCATTTATGTGAGCCGACCTACACATGTGCTTATCCAGCAAAATGTTACAGTGTGTTACCATGGCAAAATGTTAATAAATATATTTTAAGGCTTAGACTCTCTGAGAGACTGACAGAAAATAAGATTCTGGTGGTTGAAACGTTTGATCAGAGACTGTCCATCTGGACAACAAGCAAAGAAATTATAAAACATCACATCTGCTAGTTCTGAATACAGATTTACAAGCCTCAAGAAGCACTTGCATAATCAGGCTCGTGAAAGACACTAAAACCAACATCTCGAAACACACGTCATTAAATGTTAATCGTCTTTCAGGAAGTCAAATGCAGAAGGTAAATGTTCTAAACTTCTTCCTACAGAGACACATCTTTAATTACAAAAGGCAGCAAGACATCTCCTGTTTCCTCGGAGATTGGCAAAGTCTTATAGTAGGCTTCAGTGCAATTCTGTAGAAGGCATACCTGGGATTTTATATAGTGCCACATTCCAGAATTTCAATTGAAGATCTTTCAGATTTTTACATTGTGCCAAATTCCAAACTGGAAGAACATCTCAGTTTCTCAAACAACTCTGTAACCTTAACCTGTCATTTGTCTAGAATGATTCAATCAGCTAAAGGATCTGTCATTGCAGTACTTGAAATACTCCCATTTGCAATTGCTTCCTCTTCGAATGAGTTCCAGCCTTCTCATTAAACTGAAAAATAGTTCTAGAACTCAAGGAATTACACATGCTAACCAAGAGAAGTCAAATGATGTAAGTTATCCCCTTTCTCAGTGTCTTTCTTTTTTTCCCCTAGAGGCCATACAAAAGTCAAGACTTCATACTGATGGTTAATTAATAATAATTAATAATCTACCCCTATTACGTTATGAAAAATGCATTACAGACTATGGGCTTATATTAGTCAAAATATAAAATCCCCCCTCATCAGATCACCTAAGATAAGGAAGAATCAACTGCAGGTGACTAGCATGGAAAACACGTGGATTAATAGCCAGTTCTTTTGACCCTTTCAACATTCCAAAATAATTAATATATGGGCTGTGGGGGTGTAGACTAATTCTCATATATGGGATCGCACAAGATAGCTTTAGGAAAAGTAATGCAAAAAGCAATTATTCTATATGATGGTTATGAAATGTGAGCATTTCAAATGTCAATGCAGAATAATATTTTTAAATATTCAATGCAGAATAATATTTTTATATTTTATTCAGAATACTGAAGAAATAATGTATAGGAGAAGGTACAAAGATTTTCAACATCGCATTCCTGCAATACATTATTAACAGAACTGGAACTGCTGAAAGATCACATATTTAAAATGTTGATCCAATGATTTAAGATTTTATGGCACTACTCAGTAGAATTTGGTTGAACACTCACCTACTGACTCAGGGTGCAATTCTTTCCCTACTGTTGTGACCAGACTCCCACATGTCAAGCAGACATCTTATGAAAAGCCACCTGTCCTTTACAACCAGACCAACAAGCAACAAAGCACTGAACTCAGAATGTACTTAATACTTAACCTCATAGCTTCTGTAATCCACTTCCACATCATCTCCATAGACATTCAGTTCCATGTTTTTGTGACTAAACACAGTAGCTGGACTTGGATTCCGTGGATTGCAGGCCATATCATCTGCAAGCATCAAGACTATATGGCTGATGGGGAAGAAGAAAATTTATATTATACTGTACAGTTTGAATACAATAGCAAACTCATTGACAAAAAGTACAAATTGTAAAAGTTTGCTTGCTTGCTTGTACTTTTCACAAAATATTAAACTGTTAAGCACACTAGACACTGTGCATTTCAAGAAACCATTTAAGTTTGACAGCCCAGAATTCATTTATCAAAAAAACAAACGCATGTCCAAATTATACCAGCCCATCGCCTCTCAAAGAGAAGAAAATCTCTTGTCAAATATATTGGATACATTCCCAATAATTAGAAACAACACCATTTATTCCATTCTGTTTCATTACAGAAGAGGGGAGGGGAAACTACATGCCCCCTGAAAAGTGGGAGCACAGTGCAGTGCGTCAACAAGCAAGAATCGGAGGCAGCTATGCTTGGAGCTGAAAAGCTTTCTTCTAATTGCTTTTATTGTTAGACAAGACAACTTTTCTTTGAAGCCCTGAATAAAGAGTACATTTGAATAGGAAAAAATAATGTAAAAAACTTTAAGTGATCCCAATAAATTATATTGATGAAGAACAGCACTGCTCTTGAATGGCACCCATTCTCTTAATCCTATGCAAACACACAAAAAGAATGCAAGTGAATTTATCTTGGCTAGTATGATGATAAGTGATTCATGGTCCTGTCCCATCAGACTAGAACTAGGTATGCTGATAAGAGAGGCACAATTGACTCCAAAAACAAAGTATACCCCTTCTCTTCTTGTGTCTCACATCTTAGGTCATGATAAGAGTTTGAACAAGAGATTTCCAGTCTTCTGAATCATCAGTCAGTAGCTTGAACTTGGGAGAAAGAATTAAGAAAGTGTGGGTTCTAGGCAAGGTTTAGCTGCTAAAACCATTCTTTTGAAAGGATAAGTAGTGTTGATGTTATTTATTTACTGTTGGTAATTTAAGCTATATCCAGATATTTCCTATCTCGTACATATATGTCTCTTCCCTATTAAATTACTTTTCTCATCAAAACAACAGAAAGCAACCTTGTTGTTCTTAATTCTTACAGCAATATAGACGTGAATAAAGCTCTCTGCTTATTCTCCATCTAAAGACTATTTAACCTGAAGAATAAACTGTTATTACCTTTGTTGTGACAGGGAACACTGCTTTGTCTGGGTCTCAATTACTAATTCCCACATGAAAACCAAATAACGGTTACTTTTTATATTTCCCAGAATCCCCCAGCCAACATGCCCAGCGGTAACATTGGTTAGGTATTTGTAGTCTCAAAAAGTCACTTTTCCAAACTCTGCTAATAAAACGTTTGCTCCAGCTTTAATATTCAGTTTATAAATAGCAAAATCACTACTAGCATGCCTTTGCCTTATTATTTACAGCTTTAACTGTTTTTTTTGGGGAAATGGCAAACATCACAAATGGTCAAGCCAAGCCCAGAGATTTTGCCTGCTGCATTAAGAGACCTAGGGAATGTTGGCTGTACAGATCTGCCAGCAAGATGATACCACCAGTCCCAGAACTCACGTAATCCATCTACCCACTAGCTGAGACTACCCTGTGGTATAAAATGGAAGATTCTGTCAAGATATTGTAATTTTATAGGCCTGAACAGTTATTAAATGTAACATTAATGAGCTGCCATAATGAACAGCTGTGTGACTGCTGAGTCACTGTGAGAAAGGAGAAGATGATGCAATGCCTGGAGAAGAGGTGACACCCAGGTGGAGGAAGATGATGCAATACTTCCAGTGATTGGATAGAAAGAACTGTGTAACTGTATATAAGTGAACAGTGTGGACATTAATGTATCTTCTCCTTCTTTCCTATGCTACTATCCTCTATGCCAGTTTGTCTATATTTTGCCTGCTACGCCGAAGTTCTGACAGTTTGTATATTTGTATATTTGTTAATACATCTAATTCAGTGATTCCCAACTTTTGGTGTGTTTCTTCAATCAGATAAATCTGCACATTACAGTGTGAAGCTGACAGATTCTAGCAATGTCCCATTAAACAATGAGAAGAACAGATGAATGGACCACCATCCACATATAGTTCTCAAGGATCCTTTTTTAAAAAAAAGAAGACCACTGTTCAGAGGAGCTTGAAATTGTAAGATCTCATCATATAGGGTTGTATCTAGAAGGATTCACTGGCACAAAGACTTCTGAGATCATTGAAAAAGAGTCCAGCATTTCTAATGTACATCTATATAAATCAAATGTATGGCAATGTCTGGGGACAGCATTGAACTGCCAATACCCAGAAATCTGGAAATTGAAGGAGAGCCCAAAGTACTTTCTCATAATTAAGGCTGTCATTCAATGACAATTTTTAAAACCAATAAATGGCCAAGCTTCTAAGTGATTGACCTATTAAAATAATTACTATATTATTGCAAAACAGAAGAAATTTTGAAATGATATGTCAAATGCCAAAGCATTTGTTATTTGGAAAATTTTTTCAGGGGACATGTACAATACTGTCTCATTGTGTTCTGCATTAATTAACCCAGAATTAATGTTTTTTCATCCCCACCACAACTGTGGGCATAAACAATAGGTTTCCTATAGAAAAACTATGGCCCTTTTTTCTTTCCGGTGCCTTTCCAATTACGGGCACTATAGTCTTTTATAATCTGAAAGATACCAGACTATAAAATGAAAGACTGTTAAGCAATAAACATATAACTCACTTAACACTTCTTGCACTGAAATTGTTCAGCTTTCATGTCATCACAGAGAATTATTTAATATTCTAGTAAGTGTCACGGCAATTAATAAATGCTATTAGCAGGACAGTTCCAATTAATGTCCACATTTTAAACCTTCAGTATTGGATTTACTAATTAATCCAATTACTCCTTTCAGCTTCATTCAAAATGTAATTGCATATTTTCCTCAACATAGGGCTTCTTCATTTATACTATTGTACATACTGTATTATATCCTACCTTCTAGCCTCAAAAACATCAGGCAGTAAAATTACACCAAAAAAATCAATTCTTAACTGCTGACGGAGCAACTGCATGAAAAATAAACATCCCGGCAATGAAGTGAAAAGCTTTTTTGAAGCAGGAATGTTGTCACAAGTCTTTCTTTAAAACTGCAGAATGCAACTGTTACGGTAAGTAGAATGTTCCACAGCAGTGGAATGTGGAGTTTGGGGCAGAGAGAAAGAGAGAGAGACTGCAGACAGTCTAATTCAGTGATTCCCAACTTTTGGGTCCACAGATATTCCTGGACTACAACTCCCAGAAATCCTGACCAGCACAGCTAGTGGTGGAAGAATGTAGGAATTTTAGTCCAAAAACATCTGGGGACACAAGGTTGGGAACCAGAACCATTGGTCTAATTAAACCAAGGGCAGGCACCTTGTGCAGCCTTCCCAGATTCTCATTAGCATATGCCAGCACAGTCCATATAAGGGATCCTGTGAGACAAAGTCCAATAAAATATGAAAGGTCAAAGTTCCCCACACAATTGGCAAGTGAGGGAGTTGTGCTAACATACTCATCATGAGCTTCTATGAAAGGAGACAAAGTGGATCAGATTTTGTTGTTGCTGTTGTTTAGTCATTTAGCATACTCATCGTGAGCTTCTATGAAAGGAGACGAAGTGAATCAGATTTTGTTGTTGTTGTTGTTTAGTCATTTAGTCATGTCCGACTCTTTGTGACCCCATGGACCACAGCACGACAAGCCTTCCTGTCTTCCACTGCCTCACGGAGTTGGGTCAAATTCATGTTGGTCGCTTCAATGACACTGTCCAACCATCGTGTCCTCTGTTGTCGCCTTCTCCTCTTTCCTTCACACTTTCCCAACATCAGGGGCTTTTCCAGGGAGTCCTCTCTTCTCATGAGATGACCAAAGTATTGGAGCCTCAGCTTCAGCATCTGTCCTTCCAGTAAGCACTCGGGGTTGATTTCCTTCAGAATGGATAGGTTTGTTCTCTTTGCAGTCCAGGGGACTCTCAAGAGCCTCCTCCAGCTCTTGTTGTCTAGGTTTGTCACTGCTTTGCTCCCAAGAAGCAGGTGTCTTTTAATTTCATGGCTGCTGTCACCATCTGCAGTGATCAAGGAGCCCAAGAAAGTAAAATCTATCACTGCCTCCATATCTTCCCCTTCTATTTGCCAGGAGGTGATGGGGGCAGTGGCCATGATCTTAGTTTTTTATGTTGCACTTCAGACCATTTTTTGCATTCTCCTCTTTCACCCTTATTGAGAGGTTCTTTAATTCCTCCTCACTTTCTGCCAACAGAGTGGTATCATCTGCATATCTGAGGTAGTTGATATTTCTTCCCGGCAGTCCTAATTGTGGTTTGGGATTGTTCC